CAGATTTCAGGCAGGAAGCTTCCACCTTCAGATTCGTGTTTTAGATAGATGACTTGGGAAGATGAGAATGAACAGAAGAGGCAGCACCAGACTGGAGCCATCCATCAGGAAATACTGAGGTCATCAAGGACAGCAAGGCCAAAAAGTTACGTCACGAGCACAGGGGGACACATTTAGGAGGCTCTTATGAGACGGAATAACTGGAATGTCTGGATGCAGAAGGTGAAGAAGAGATAGTCTGCAGAGACTGTGAGACTGCAGGAAATACCCATTAGTTCTTTGCTGCTCCAGAGCCCAGCAGGAGCAGGAATGCCATGCATCGTAGCACCTGCATCAATACCAGCCCTACCTGGCGGACAGATAACGAGGGCACGTGCTTTCTGGAATTGCAAGTGCCCTATTGAAATTCTATCAAGAGAAAATTTAAATTAAATGCTGATCATGATCCCAGCAAAGATGAGCCTGCCATTTTCCTCTGAAATCTCATTTTAGTCTTTCCTTCCTTATTCTCAGTGCAGCCAGGTATGCAACAAAGGCCTCTGCAACAATATTTTATATGAGTAGTCAACTTACAAACTTTTTTCAACACTCCAGAAACTATGAAGGAATTAAGAGCAGCTATTTGTCAGCAGGATTAAAACTCTGCTATGGATTTAAAAACAACAAAGAAATCTTACTCAGCCCGGGCCTTTGTTCACTAAATGTCAGAGTTTAAGAGCTGCCTGCTTTCACAGAATTCACAGAAACATATAATTAAACTGCTCAGAGCGCCTTTAAAGGAAGCTGTCCTGTGAAGTTGACAAGCCCACAAGCAAGGTTTTAAAGGGCAGCCCGTGGGTTATAGAAAAAAGATTCTGGGCACTTAGGTATTTTTTTTAAAATGCAATGCAGGTACACACTGATAATTATCTATCCAGAATAAATTTTTGGTGAAACGAGGTGAACATTTAAAAAAAAAAAACAAGGAAATGTATTCAAATGTATCAAATAAAATAATCCCTTAGTTATAGGAAAGCAACTGTGCTTCCTGCTCCAGCCCTGAGGGTTGGCACGTCAGCCCCAGCCCCATCAAACTTGAATACAGAGGTGTGGCTCCATCCCTGCAGTTCCTCCCTACGCCCTCAGCATTCAGGAAATGTAGCAGCTGGATGCATCTAGAATTTAATGAGCATTTTGCTTCAAACCAAGAAAAAATAGAAAAATAATTTACATTCCACATCTATTTTCCAAAATATCATTGAATATTGACTCAATCACAGTATGTGCATTTGTTATGACAGTCATAATTTCAAGCGATAAAATGTTCCTTGCTCAATATGCCTTCAATTTTTCTTCCACATTAGTAAGGAACGGCCCCTGCACCAAAATCATCAAACCTTTGTTCTAGACTGGTCCAACAGTCAGGCCATTTCTGTACCAGCATATTGATTTAACCGCATCAGTCTGCAAAAATGAAGAGGAATTTCTTTTCACTGTCTTTTTGCTCAGTGGGGCTATCAAGGACTTTTAAGGGTGTTGGGTTCTACAGAGAACATTAAGCAGAAGTGGTTGTCAAAATTACTTTAGAGGAAGCCTTAGAAAGCACCATGTTGGACATTGTGTCCCATTTTTTTTCCTCCTGTGTTGGGACAGATCCTGTTTATTTCACTGAATATGGAGTAGACACTGACTGGTAACAAGACGGATGAAAACGATGTCACTCGAAATCCTAGTGCTCTGATCTGAGTGAGCAGACACTCAGGGCATCTTAGTCTCTCTCCTAGGTGCATATTGAGCATGGCCATGGGTAGGCAGAATCACTCTCATATCTCAGCTACTTGACTGTCTTTTGTTAAAGAGCAAAAGCATATATACATGTAGAATGCAGATCTGTCTTATTTCAAAGTTCTTCTGTTCTTCATCCTGACTCCCAGATTCCAGCAATTCTCATTCCAGACTTGCTATAATCTACATCGGAGTCAGTGTTCCATGCTCCAGTGCCTTCTGATCATCCTGAGCCAATCAAAACCTACCGATCCTGTTTTTCCACTAGAGTCTTACTAAGATCTCACTCAATCCATTAACCTGACAAGCTTAATTTACACAATATCAACAAGTGAAAATGGTTTGATGTATAATGCTCCCATAGAGAGATTTTCTACAGCCTTTGGTAAAAAGCAAAACTTGAACAGAGACCTTTGTCTGTCTTGCTCAAGTCTTTGTCTCTGTCTCTGCATCTGTCTGTATGTCTGTCTGTCTGCCTCTCTCTTTCCCTGTCTCTCTCTCTCTCTGTCTCTTCACCTTCTGTCTCTCCCTTTTTCTGGTTTTGTTTTGTGTATTAGACCTCTCTGGGCAGGGGTAGGGAGACAGATTTTCAAAAATGAATTCTTTTATCTGGTTAAAAGCCAAGTTTTTTTGTTTGTTTGTTTGCTTTTTACAGCTTTATTTACAGTACTCTCAACCATATCTTTTAAACTGAACATTTGTTTCATGCTGAAATTAATAGTTTCTGCCTGTCAAGATTTCACACAAAGAGGAGAAAGAGAAAACATAATTCACGTCTTAGCACATGTTAGACATGGCTTTGGAGCACTGTGCTTCTCTCAAAGACCTGGTTTCTTATTACATTTTATGTAGGTGAAAAATTATAGGACTTATAGTTTGTAAAAATTTAACATTCACTAAAAATATTCAGATTTTTCAAAATATAATGCACTGATTGTCTTCTTTCCCTATCTAAATAATATAGTAGATGTCTATCATGAAAGAGAGCTTTCTGTTTGCTTTCTACTAACAAATTGGTAATCAATTTCAGGACTTTTTTTTGTACTGGGAATTGAACTCATAACCTCATGCTTGCCAGGCAGGCACTTATGCTGCTGAGCTAAATCCTCAGCCCTCAGAAACACACTTTAATTTGACTTTGTTTTTATGGTTGTGGCTGTGGGACTGTAAGCCTGTTGTTCCCCTCTCCAGTCTTCTGTTCCTCCATGAAACAGCAGGAACTGAACTGAAGGAAACTGAAGGCTTCTACCAGTGTTAGAAGCCCAATAATGCCAATGTCGATATAAGATTCTCACAGTTCACCCTGGGACAGAAAACTCTAAAGACATCCAGCATGCTGTGCTACAGCTTTGGCATGGGCTACACAACCAGCAAAGGTTAAATGTCAGCATATTGCATTGTTAATATATAATGAATTCATTGTCCCAGGGTGGCCTGACTATCTGCCTGGTGTCACCTTGAAAAAACAGGAAACAGTTTGCAGAGGAAAACCTGCTCAAGATTCCGGGAATCTTCTAGTCTTTTAAGGGCCTTCCTGGCTGTCCTGGTTTCCCTGGGAGCTATGGATGTGGTCATTCCTCATCAGGGGGAACACTCTCTCACTGGGAGTTCTCAGGTGTAAGCAGCTCACCTGCTTGCCTGGTTGCAAAGTTCCAATTGGCCCTGACAGTTGCAAGAAGTTCCAGTTCTTTGTGACTGAATGAAGTGGACTAGGTGGGGAAGGGAAGGAGCATATTTAGTAAGTGACTAAGATTTCTCAGTCACTGCATTTTCATTATTGAGTCACAGTGAGGTTACAGAGACTGAAGGTAAATATACTCAGAGACCCCCAAAACAGTGCCAAACAAAGCAGTACATTAAACAGCTTTATTGACAGGAATCACTGCTAACATCCTTGAGGTAGGGCAGGAGTTAGTGAAACCCAAAAGATAATATGAGAATGTTTATGTGGTTTAATTAGTCAACTAAAGGGACAAAGATGATTCCTGAAAACCAAGGTCCCTTACATCTATATTCTGAGGAAGCCAACTGATGTGACAAAAGAGTCAAAGCAGTTTTCCTACAGATTATTCCATTTGAATATAACATGAATTCCTCGCAAACGGTTGCCAAGACAACCAGAATACACTGTTCCATGGTTCTGTCCTCCCAGAACCAAGAATGTGGGAACGAGAGGCAGCAGACAGTGAAGCAGAGGTAGTGCTCCTTGGTGCTTCTTCCTTAAGGCTCATGAGTACATCCACCTGATCCTGAGTCATCCATGTGACCTGATGTGAGGCAGCATGAGCTGGCCAACAGAGGCCAAGTTCAAAACAATCATGGTGGGCCCTGTGAGAATAAGGCACGAGGCCAGTCCTGTTCTTGTTATCTCAACTCCACGAGGAGTTGTAGTTTTTGGAGACTGACTGCTTTTCACCCAGATGTATGCATTCATTCTGATTAAATAAGGAGAGAAAATGTAGAACCACAGTGCATACAGTGATGTCCCCTCAGATTCCTCCTCAGAATGATGCTGCTGAGAAAGTCCACTGCTCCCTGACCCAGCTCAGCTGCACCCCTCACTAGGAACTACCATCCACTGCAGGAAATTGCCTCCCCTGGGTTATACTCCCACCCAGGGGCAGCACCCAGCCAGTGACTGGTCAATGTGGCAATACAGTTCCAGTCACCTCTGAGAAGGTCTCCCAGCTCTCCGTCTCCCTGGGATCACCAGAGGGCTTGGCTGCAATTGCAATGCTATTTGATGTCTTCCTTGTCCAACGCCTTCCTCGCTTCTTTCCAGACAAACTCCTCCAAGAGCTCCCCAATAAACCTTCCACACACAACTAGATGCAGAAAATCCAGCCTGGCATAAGGACCAACAAACCTGACTGGACCAACCCAAATAAGGGAGGGCAAATCCACCTGCTTTAACAAGTTTTGAAAATGAGGTGCAGTTGATTGGAACATGTACTCCATGAAACGAGGAAGACTATAACCTTTTCCAATCATATTCTTATATTCACTCTGTAGCAGGAGAAAAGATTATTAAATTTTTGAGGAAAGAAGAATAGAATTTTTTGTACACACAGCCTACCTGGAGGAACAGCAGTGAATTCCACCCTGGTAGGGTGTCTGTGATACACAGGAGGGACCCACTGCTTGAATGTGTATCTTAGAACTCGACTTAGGCAATAAAGCGTCCTCTTGCCCCACCGCCTGTTGGAATCAGTGGTTATCCAAAAGGAGACTCTTACCTCCAGGACCAGCCACAGCTGTCCACCCACACAGCAATCCGCTCTGTAAAACATCCCATAAAACTTTACAACATTGGGATGATTTGGAAGAAATTGCAGAATGTTGTATTCTGCCTCAATTTCTTCATCCATATCCTAAACAGGGTAAGAGAAAAATCCATGCTGGGTTAAGTGTAATGGGAAAAGAAAGATACTGATATGACATCATGCTCAAGTAATCAATTAACATACTGTATTAACTAATGTATTTTAATATCATTCCTTTGTCTTTAAAATACCTAACAATGGACATTCAGATCCCAATTTAAGCCTTCTGTGTTAGTATATCAATATAATTTATTTTTGATATTGTCTTTTTTTTAACTGCCCTGCTTTAAGTACTGTATTTTTTTTTTTTTCATTGAAAAATGTCTGAATTTTCAAGGCAGTTATGGAGCAGTAGCTTGAAAAGATCCAGCTCAGGACAGGTCACACACAGCTTCACTGTGCACAGCAGCTTACAGGATCATAACCTCAGCTCGGAAATAAAATGCCAGCCTAGGATGATCAAATAGCACAAGTCCAGGTCATTTTGTAACTTTTTGTGAAACCATGGAATGGAATATATTACTCTTTCCAAAAGAGTAATTTCTGAAGATCCCAGAGGCCCAAAACCAAAACAAGGGTAAAATGGACAAGAAACAAAAGTCAAGCAACTTTTTAAACTCCAAACAAACTCCTTTTCTTCAGAGAGGCTGACAAATTGTGACCATTTTCAGATTCCATGCCACCTTTCACGGCAGTTATCACTTAGATAAGGAAAAGAAATTGAAAGCTCAATCTGCACAGAACACTAGAATGTGGTCTCAGTTTACCACCGTGACTTACACTGATGGGGTCCAGAATTTTCACTGCAGCCAAACTCCCGTCTCTCTTGTTGGTTACTTTGTAGACCTTGCCATAAGTGCCTTTACCAATGGTCTCTATAATCTCCCAGGTGTCCATAGGATCAGGAAGTGATTCAACTCCAAGCATCATGGGGTTGTAGTGAAATAATCCATAAAGATGTTTCCTGATGGAGAAAAAAAGTTTTATGCCAACAGATCACGTATTAGAGGTGGTGAGTTTTGAAAACAAAAATGTATTTTATTTCTTAATCTTATGTTACTTTTTATTTTCCTCCTGTCTTTCAAGTAACATGGGGAGAAAAAGACTTAGAGGCACCTTAAGAAATGGTAATAGAAGATAGAGCAGAGAAGTAACACAACTCTGGAACACCCTAACCACAATTCTGTAAGTGATTATATTCACACTGCAGGAGGCAGAAAAGGCCCAAGAAGAGGTGCTAGTCACACTGGTTAGTTGCCTTGCCAAGCAGGGAGTGGTGGAAAAGTAGTTAAAACCCATAGGTCTAAAATATCTGTCTCTCCAGGTGATGGTAAATTTAACTAGAGTCCCCAACGTCCCTCTATGTGTGCAGGGTCAAAAGAAGAGTTGGTGCACGCACTAAGCACACACCCGTTGCTGATAGCCCTGGGGGCCTGTGAAGATCAGCCGTGCTCACACCGCCCTCCACAGCAAAAGCCTGGTGTGGGAATCACACCCAGGAGCTGCAGACCCACCTGCCTTGGTGAGGACTCTGTGTTACGGCTTATGTCTAGAATGCCCCCTCCCGACCCTCATGTGGTCAGAGGTGGGGCTTTTTCAGAGGTGGCTGAATCTCAAGTGTGTGGCCCTGGGGTTGATTCATAGTACAATGCTAGGCTCAAGGGCACTAGGGTTAAGAGTGTGAGAGCTACCTGCCTTACGTAGCCTGGATAAGACATAAGAGATAGAAAGGACTGTGCTGGTCCCCTTGCTTGCTTTGCTACCTTCTGCCTGCCATGAACTGTTTCTCCTCTGCAATGCCTGTCTGCCATCCAAACTGCCTTGGAGCCAGCAGACTATGGACTGAAACCTCTATAAACTGCAAAACAAATACATTTTCACTCCTTTAACTTTGGGTGTCAGGTATTTTGTCTCAGCAATGACAAAAGTAACTAAGCCACTGTGTTTACTATGACACTACTCTAGAGCACATGTACCAATAGCAAGCTCGGCAGGTGAAGGCTGACTCTATGCAAGAGCCCCTTCAGGTTCATGTGCTCTCAGACTGTGGGTACTCCCACTTCTCAATCCCAGGGAGGGGGCGTGATCTGGCTCCACAGCGAGAGCTTGGCAGCCAGTCCCTAGCCATGGCTTAGCGTCCAAGAGCAGAAGTGCCTTGTGCTGAGCATCCAGCTTGCATAGGCTTCTCTGGGCTTTGTTTTCCCAAAGCAAAGCCCTGGAGCACGGAGTAAGAATGCACTGGTTTTGTATTTGTTTTTGTTTTCCTACCCTAATGGGAAAATTTTTTAAATATTTAAAAACCATTACAAATACAAAAACCAAACAAAGCTTAAAAAGGCATCCCATTCTATAAAGGGCCTGTTAGCCACATCCTAAGGGCCAAGGCAAACCCTGCGCAGCTGAGGTGCTGTCCCCAAAGGCACTGATGGGACAGCTCAGGCCTTGGTTGTGCTGGCTTCAAGTCTCTCTAGAGCAGCAGCCTCTGCATCCATCCAGGACTTCACAAAATCAATCTTTCTCACCACATGCTACCAATTTTTATCATTTCTGTACCTCATCTGTGCTGTTAGCTACTAAATACTTTTTAAATTACTTTATAGCACTACCCTAAATGCAAAACCAATATCCTTTGCTTCATATCCAAGTTAATGGCAAAAAGATGATTAGGCTATAAATAATGGAGAATTATTCCAGTGCAGTTAGAAATGCTGTCCCTGGACTCCAGCCTAAGGCTGATCTTTCATAAAAAAAGGAACTTGTGAGAGATAAAGAAGAATTTAAGCCTGGCACAATTGTTTTCTCTGATGTCATCAAAAGAGCTGAAGGGAATTAGTTAGCAAGGGATCACTTTCTGATGATGTGACTCAGTACTTTTTGGTACAAGATGCTCAGACATCCAGATATCTAAGGACACTGCTGTAGGCTGCACTTCTTGCAAGAGCAAAAGGCAGGACCAGCTGTGGGTGGCCACATGGTGGGCCCTGAGACAAGAGCCCATTAGCCAAAATGTTCTTGCCTTTCACTGACCCATCAGCCCTGCTCCCTGTAGGCAGGGACAGTGGCATATAGATTCAGTGCAGGGACGCAACAGTGCTCAAGCCATGCTCCTGGCACAGTCTCAGTCCTGCCCAGAGCAACCATGAGACTTGGGCTTGTAACTCATCTCTCTGCCTCAGTTTCTTCAGAGTAGCAGTGGCTGCAGAAGCCATGCTGTCTATCCACGAGGCTGCTGCTCAGATTAGCACAAAGAGCTTAACATGTCACCTGTCATTGCCTGAGAACGCAGCTTCACATACATTTCCCTGCCCTGTTTTCACTTCTAACCACAGACTGGATGAGGAATCAATGGGTTTATCTCAAGTCAGCTATGAGCTTCAGACAAATGACTGGAAGTCGTTGAGCATAGATGACATAGAGTCATTGAATATGGCGCAGGAAAGGGAAGCTATGGAAGCAAGTGGTTTTTCTAAGATTTTGGTTATGAAATATTTCAGCTAAATTCATTTTAATTCAGATGCTGGTATAAATGCTGCAGAAGTGGCACAGAACTGGCAGAGGTAGACCTGAGGGCCAAACATCTTCCCTGCACCCTCCATAGGAGCCAGACAGGGCAACCAGCCATCCTGCATAGCTGGGACCACCTCTGTTTTGCTACTCAAAGTCCCAAGTCTGGGAAATCCCTCAGAGCAAAGCTGGACAATTTGTCACCCTAGCTTCTAGTTCTTCCAAAGACAGTCACCTCCTGAGAGAACTGTTAGAAAACTATTGTTTACTCTCATCTCCTCCACCTCAAACCCTGATGGCTGACTTGTGTCTCTTCTCAGTTAATATTGTCAAGTCCTAAACCACCACCGATATAACACTGTGGAATGTGGCTGTATTTGCTGGTAGAGCCTTTAAAGGGGTAGTGATGGGAAAATGTGAGTGTATGGGTTGGAAAGCTACTCCATATGACTGGTGAGAGTATAAGAAGAGATTTAGACTAAGAAGAAAGGTCATGTGAAGACACAGGGAAATGACAGCTCTCCACATGTCAAGGAGAGGTCTATGGTGAACCCAATCCCACTATCACTTTGATCTTGGACTTCATCTCAAAACTGTGGCACTTGATTAAATAAATCTCTGTTGTTTAAGTCACTTATTTATAGTTCTTAATTATGGCAGATCTAGAAAACTAATACACTCCCCCTTTTTACCTGTTTTTTAAAATTTTGCTTTTGTTTTGTTGGTGCTGTGCTTGATATTTTGAGGTGGTGGTGGTGATAGCCCCAGGAACTGAACTCTGAGCCTTCACACTGAGCTATGTCCCTAGTACTTTTTCTATGTTCTCATTTGGAGACAGAGTTTCACTAAGTCCCTTGGGCTGGGCTCAAACTTGTGAACTTGCTGTCTCAGCCTCCCAGAATTCTGGGATTATAGGTATGCACCACCATACTCAGCTCCGTCCCTTTCACAGATGAGGAAACTGAAGCTCAGATTGGTGACATGATGGGGTAAGGGTAGCACAGGAATAGAAATGCCAGATTCCCTAGGTCTGACCCCAAGACCTTTGCTCCACAGATTAGAATGGAGCCAGTTGGCCCAAACAGTGGCTATTCATACAGCCCTACAATAGTGATCATCTGGTCCAAGACAGCCTCCCGACCAGCCCTTCTGACAGCAAAACATTGCCTTGGCCAGAATGTTAATTCTGAGTGTACACAGCACTTTTGTCTATGTCTGTGTTGCGCGCAGGACAGAGCTAGGACAAAAAGTGCTGCCTTCCTCAAGGATGACATGAAAATAGCAACAGAGACACCAAAGGATGGACCAGGAGCCCTTTGCTGCAAGATGGATGATACCTAGGACCTCAGGACTCTGCAGAACTCTTAGAAGTCTCCAGAGAGGTACCTACGCCACCTACAGTCCTGGAAATGGGAATTCCATGCATCTCTTTGGGAACAATATGAAAGAGAGACCTCAGAAGGCTGAAAAACTCAGGTTACAAGCTACATTCATTGGAAGACACATAGAAGGACTGGGTTTATCTAGGCAGAGGTCAGTGATGGCCTTGTCTATGCAGGACCAGGGGTGGGAAGACAGTTTGCAAACCAATTAGAAGTCCTTTTGGCTCAGATGTATCTGTGCTTCCTGCTACACACTTTGTCTCTGTATGTAATAGTGTTATTTAGGCCAACATCACAAATGGATTTCCCATCAAACTCACAGCCCTCAGAGTAAGATTCTGATGCCCCCACATTCCTATCATCTAAACTCTTTGAGTACCAAGAATAGTGAAGTTATTGCCAAGGCAAAGAGGATAATATAGACATGAATGTGGGATAAATGTTTCCTATCTTTATTTACACATCATTCTCAGTCAAATATCTACGAAACATCCAGACTTCTCTGCTTTTAAACTACTGTCAATTAGATATTTATTTACTCAAAGATTTTACTAACATAATACCTTGGACTCTCTCCTTCTCTTTAGATGGCAAACTTTTAAAAAGTAAGGACCACATCTCTTTATGATATTTGAGAAAGCAGGAATGTTCTTTCTGCTGACAAGAACAGTGCATTACAAATTAAAACAACACTGAGATACCATCTCACTCCTGAAAGAATGGCCAGGATCAAGAAAACCGACAACAAATGCTGGAGAGGCTGTGGGGAAAAAGGAACTCTCCTGCACTGCTGGTGGGAGTGTAGACTGGTACAGCCTTTGTGGAGATCTGTCTGGAGATTTCTCAAAAAGTTGGGACTGGAAATCCCATTTATTCCAGCTATTCCACTTCTAGGCATATTCCCAGAAGAACTGAAAGCATCATACCACAGTGATATATGTGCACCTATGTTTATAGCAGCACAATTTGTAATCGCCAGATCTTGGAAACAACCCAAGTGTCCATCAACTGAGGAATGGATAAAAAAGTTGTGGTATTTCTATACAATGGAGTATTATTCAGCTATAAAGAAGGATCA